AGTATAAAGCAAAATAAAGGGACAATAATGAATTATAAAATAAGTATGGGGCTATAAAACGGAAAGAGTGAGAAAATGTTTGATAATTAGGCAGGAGATTAATAAAAAATCTAATTACACAGCTTGCAAAACGAGCTCCATGCCGACCGTCATCATCTTCGAAAATGCCAATTAAAACCTCAAAACCAAAATTCTCTCTCTTAAAAACAGCGGAGAAAGAGAGCAAGAAATTTATCACAAAAGTACCAGCGGCTTGATGTTGCCTAGCTGCTGATTCTAATTATTCTTCGATTCCATCTCCTTAATTTCCCTTTGATTTTTCTGCTCGAAAATGGCAGATCTGTACGGATTTGAGAAATCTCCACATTCTTTAACCAGTTTGTCCAGAATTCTGCTTCGTCATCTTCGTGCACGCATTTGAGGAATAGGTACGTTCAGTTGCTGTCCTCTTCAGTGCTGGATTCTTTACTGGAAGCAACTAATTCTAGTTCTAGAGTGGCGGATCGGCGAGTTGGGCTGAGATAGAGCTCCAAATGAGAGACGGGAGTTCCGATTTCAATTTCTCGGATCCTGAATCGTATTTTGGGGCTGACGTCAAAAATAGTGCCGGCGACAATTTTAAAGGAGATCTACTGTGGCACTGGTGGTAGGGCTCACCGAAGCCCAGTTGTGAAAAAAAAAAAAAAAAAGAAAAAAGAAAAAGTGGGTTGGATGTCTAAATTGTTAATGGTTAACGGTCAACAAACTAACCAACGAGGGGTTGGATCAAGTGGTAAGCGGCTTGTTTCAGCTTAAACAAGGTCTCGAGTTCGAGTTGTTGTGTATGCAGCAGCTCCCGTTGGGAGACTCACCCACCATTTTCAGGTGCGCGACGCGAATCAGATCCGAATTAATCGGGGCGAAACCCCGGATACCGAGCGAGAAACCAAAAAAAAAAAGGGTCAACAAACTAACCGTTACCCTAAAATTGGAAAGGGGTGATATCGATATATTTTTTAATAGTAAAGGGAAGACATGTGCAGTGTTTTTGGCCTTACTCTGGGGGTTGATCTATTTTGTTCATCGTGTTTGATTCAATAAATTGAAT